GCACGTTCTTCTCAAAGATCATTTACAAAGGAAAAAGTGTAACATCCACAGAGATGAAATTTTTATTTACACAAACGTAGAATCGTTGCGACTGATTTTTAAGACTTGTGTGGATATGCCATGGTTTTGTTTTTACTTGAAAAGTCAAAATTTTCGGAGTTTCTGACGAAGGCGATGCGATACACACCATACACCGGATCCCACGACGGCGACGGGATCATCAAGAGTAAGTTCCGACGCACGGTGGATCGAGTCAATCAGGAAGGGCGGCCATGACATTTTTAAAAAAAATTGGGAATTTCGGCGTTCAATTCGTCAAATTTTAAATATTAAGGAGTGTTTCTAGAAGAAAATTTCACGAGGAGACCATCGAACCACTTTTGAAACCTCAAAGTTTTCAACGGAGTCATGAGCTTTTCAAGTTTCCAAATTTTGTCCGACCTCCCCTCTTGACTCGATCCACCGTACGACAGTTCTTAAGACGAATCGACATACAGGGTTATTCAAAAGTCTCGCACCACCGGCCATGAGGGGGGGGGGGTGGCCATTTGAAACTTTTGAGTTGCCCCCCACCCCCTCCCCACGAGGGGATCAAAAACTGAAAAGAATCTAAAAAAGTTTCCCACTCGATATGAGGAAAAGCGTCTTAAACCGCAAGTCGATATCATAACTAGAACTAAAGTTATGACCAGTGCTGCGTGACTTTTGAATAACCCTGTATGAGAGGCTTGGAGGACAAGGCGCAAAGTGAAGTTTTTGAAAAAATTGAGATATCTCAAGTAAAACTGGTCTTACTGCATATTCTATGAATATGCTACCCAATTCCAATTATTAAGCATTGAAAAGTCAGTTTGAACTTTTTTCCCGCCAAAAGGGTTCATGTAATTCGAAACTTCCAACACGCGAGCTGCTCGAAATAGCGAGGACTACACTTATGCGACTTGTCCTCCGAGCCCCTCACATGTACTGAATATTTTAGTTTCTGTAAATCTTCAAAATCAAGGACTCCCGTTCATCACAAAAAAGGTACTTTATATTAATTAAGATAGAAGAGGACGATAGGACGATACAGAATTGAACAGTCATAAAAACTTAACTCCAGAAACCTACAAGAAAATGAGACAGCTAAGCAATAACAACATTGAGCCATTGGCGGTGTTTCATTCCAGATAATTAAAAAATTAGGACGTACAATCTTTAGGGACTGGAATTAAATGAAAGGAAATATTTATAGAAAATGAGAAAACGGGCATAGAAAATTGTATGCTGATGTCGGACTAAGCAAATTAAGTGTGATTCTAACATTATTAGAAAACTGCCAAATCGGAGAGACTTCATTTCAGATACAAGAGAACGAGACAGCTTTAGACACGGATGAAAAAACTCCGTGCATCGGACCCGAAGTTGAGGTCATATGATTCTCTGAAGTTTTCTGATCACGCATCCGAAAACCTGAGGTCGAGCTGCCGAAGTTCGGGTCAGACATCGAGGCACTTCGGTATTTATCGGAGTACTTCAGATATGTGACCCGAACCCTTCGGTATATTTCGAAGTACTTCAGATGTCTGACTCGAACTTCGGCAGCTGGAACTCAAGTTTTTAGATACGTGGTCCGAAAACTTCAGAGATCTGTATGACCTCAACTTCGGGTCCCACGCACGAACTTTTTTTCTCCGAGCTAGTAATTACGAAATCGAAAAACTGTCAGTGTTCCTTTCAGATACTGAGGAGTAAGTATTACTGAAATACTATGACTGAAATAGAATCACTAGACTTTAAAATTACATTGAAAAATGAAAATAATTTGTACTTATTTGAAATGGAAAAGGGCGCTAGAAAATTGATACATCGTGAAGGCTTCGTTACAGATACATAACAATGAGAAATCTAGGTAAGCAATTACAACTTTGAGTGATGAGACACCGTCAGTGTTCCATTTCAAATACTGGAGAATGCTATTGAAAAATGAGAACACAGAATTATTGGGGTTTGAGATTACATGAACCAGACAGAATTTACACTAAATTAAGATGTAAGAGAGTGGAAACATAACTTTTGAGCATTGATGAATCTTAAAGACTTCGTTGCAGATACGAGAGATAAGTTACAGAAACATAGAGGTTCAAATTAACGTAAACAAGAATGATAGTTTACACTCATTTAAAATAGAACAAAGTTGAATTAAAATACAAGACATTGACGAACCGTAAAAACTTCGTTTCGGTCCGAAACTTTCGGATACAAAAAAAAAAGAAAAGTTAAGCAATTACAATACATGGAGAGCGTTCCACTTCTGGATGACGAAAGAGAAGTACTTGAAAATTAAGAAAATAAACATAAGTTTTGAGTTACATGAACGAATGAAATCCCATTGAAGAGCCAAAACACTGAAATATAATGGTTCAGAATGACAAGTATTCAGCTCCAAAAATCAAAACATTTCAAATGAAAGCATTGAAATTCACATGTAAGGAAAAAGTTGGCTCACGCTGATTGATTTCATTGAGAGCACATTGTGTCTCGGGTTTTAAATTCCCGCCACCCCAAATGAGGCCGAGACTCTCAAGTTGATGCATTCTCCGATCATCCGACAGAAGGCTACTCTCGAGATGTTTTTTGATCAAAAGGTGACGGATGTGGGGAGGAAGCGGTAGGTCCTTCAACCTTTCTGTAGCAAAAAAGTGGATGAGGATCAAGGCCTCTCTTGACTCCTTTTTCAACCATTTCTGACTCGGAATTAGCCCTCCGAATTCAGGGAGATAAAAAGCTGCGTGAAGCTTAGGGTAACTGTTCACCGAATCGATTTTTGGTTTGATTGATATCATCTTTTCGGTTAAAGCGAAATGTGGGAACATTGAGTGTAAACGCCATAAGGAGGGAGAATCAGAGTTTGCGTGATAAGTTCGATCTTGTACATAATAACAATATTTAAAATCAGACATTTGGTCACATTCTTCTGGGCCAAGTTTCTCATAAGTTTCGCGGGTGAGCAGCGTTATATGCCTCTTAAGATCGGCTGGACGCCACTTGTTATAGTCGCAAGTCGCTTGAATCTTGCTAAGAACACTCATAGGCTCAAAGTACTTCAACTCTAGCATTATTCCTTTTGTTCTGGAACATGGGTTCTCTATGTCTTCAAGTGGATCATTGACCTCCTGTAATAGCTGTCTACCTCTGTCATTACGCGAGTGCATCATTTCAGTAAGTAACTATAAGAACATCAATCTTTCTCACAGGAAAGAAATTAAAAGTTCTCGTGGGGTGCGTAAGTGCTTATCAAGGCCTTTTGTGATTTCTATAACAAAAAAAAAACAAAAAAATAAAACAAAAAAAAATCTTACATTCTCACGGGAAGTTGTATGATTCAATGCAGAAGAGGATTTGTCAGTAGCTTTACGATTCAATTAATAAGAGGATTTGTTAATACATATAAGTATGGTTTAGACCTGCACCGCAAATAATTATGCATTTGTGTTGAGGCAATCATTAAATTGAATACTATTCCTCGGCGGAGGCAACACGTTGGAGTTTGAAATATGTTTGATTGCTCATTAATGAAGTCATTAACCTCCGGCTGGTCAAAAGGTCTATTTCACTACACACAAGGCAAACAGATGTTAAGTTTGCAGTTTTGTTAAGCAGGCCAAAAGATTGCTAGAGTATCAATTTCTGCATCATTCTTTTTCTTTTCACGTGCGGTTGCAGAATGGGTCAGTTGCGCTGGTCACAAAATCGAGTTTCAATGATTGGTTCTTGTACCTACATTAGCTAAAAATAATAAGATCCGTCCAAACCGCAACTTTCTCCGTTCAATATTAACCGAGATATTGCCCTTTGAAAAGTCGGGGTTTTGACGTCATCCACTGCGGTAGCGACACCCTTGGTTTCTTCCCCTTTAGTTCGATCAGTGATGCAAAGGCCGCGACGCAAATGCTCAACGACGTTGAACACGAACAAACTGTGGTGAACTGACTGACCGCCTAATCTCTCCGCGTCGAATGCGTTAAGAAAATCGTGTACCTCTGACCGTATTGATGTTTCACTGTTGACCGACGCTTGTACTTCGCAGGTGTATCTGGGCTTTGAATAGGAATTGGTTTTTTTCCCTTGTCGTTCAACTTAAATTCCTTCCCAGCCAAACAACCGTTGACGGTTGTTTGGCTGGGAAGGAATTTACGTCAAACTGCACGTAGAAATAATTACTGTAACATTACTTGGATTGCATTTGGCAAGAGGGACGGGCGAGATCAACTTGAAAAAGCGTGTTACAAACTACGCAGATTGCACACTGAAAGGAGTGGTTTCCGGACTTCTTTGACGTGCCCAACGTGATTTTCGGGCGATTTTACCTAAAACTAGTGTATTTATTTGGCTGCATCTCTTGCGCGCAACAGATCCATTCACCGGTATCGAGGCGTAAATGATCGATTATCGATATTTTCCCATTTGAAGCTAGGGTAAAGAATCGATTATTAAGGTGTTCGTTGCGAAGACCCTGTTTATCGATCCTACTGCATGAGTTTAAATGGCAGATCAATCAATAAATCGCGAAGCATGCCACGCCACTGCCATTCACAGTTTCTACCAATCTAGTGATTCGCCGTTTCGCGGCTCCGTTAAGGTGATTCCTCCCAGCGGGGCGATTATTGAAACTGATAGACAAAGCTATGGACAAAGACGACAAAAGGGATTTGGAGGGATCCTATTGGTGGAGGCGGATGGTGGCGATGGACATAGCAGGTAGGTAATGGACTAACTGACGGCAATTCACGAGAAACCTGACAGTTAGTCCATCATTTTCTTCCTTAGTCTATAAAAGCCAATCATGCCAACCAATAGGATCGCTCTATACTCCTTATGTCTTTTTTGTCTATAGCTTTGTCTATCAGTTTCAATAATCGGCCCGCAGGTCATAAACAAACATCTACGTATCGATGTTTGTTTACAACCTGGGAGGAATCACTTTAAGGAGGAAAGGAAGAGCAATAAAAACCACTCACCAGAGTACACAGCCGTTGACGACCGTAAAATCCTTAAACAGCGGAGAGAGAAAGAACGTGGTGGTCGTCTGTAAAAAAAGAATGAAAACATTTGATAAGTAATTTGGCGATAAAGAAAGAAAAAGAAAAAAAAAATCTGTTTGCCCTATATTACAAGACGACAAAATAAATAGTAAAAAAACAACAAAAGTTTTATTTAGGTATTCAGGAAATGCACGTCGACTGTTCTTCAGGAGTGTCAAGGCGGACAGTTATCATAAAATTTGACCGAGAAGCATTTTTAAATAGTTTAACAGTACGTCCAGAGTAAATAAATTGTACATAATTTGCCTTCCGATTTTTGAAATCCATGCGGTGCGTGAAAAAACTATTTTAAAATGCTTCTTAAAGTTTTGGGTCAAATTTTTTGTGCAAATACCTGACAAACTACAACGCGATATGATACGCGGAAAATCAGCAGACATTTTTTTAATTCGAGATATTATGAATTGGATTACATTTTGCAAAAAGGAACCACTATCTTTGGCTCTCCCATAAAAGCACGTATCTGCATAGGGAAACCAATGGCGTGTATGTTGTTTCTAAAATGGGCCACAAATAGTGGTTCCTTATCGCAAAATGTAATCCAATTGATAGATCGAGTGTATCGCATCCTTTTCCAAAGCGACGAAACTCCTCCTTCATGGACTGAGGCTCCTAATCCCGTTGATGGTCATATTTTACGTGTTTCCGCTTCGTGAGTGTTGTTGGCATTAAGATTTATTGCGTTGTACTATTTTTTTTCTTCTATTTTCCCGGACCTATTGTTCCCTGCCAGAGTTCTATGAACGCGCATCCGGTATGGTCAATTGGATATTTCGTTGTTTTTCAGACGAGAGAACCATTGGCGTGGCGTACTTTGCGATACATCGATTGGACTGCATTTTGCAATTTGGAACTATAAATTCTAGCCCGGTTGAAAAACAACGTATGTGCCATTGGTTTCCTTATGCACACAAGTGTTTCTCCAGAAGAGCCAGAATTTATAGTTCCAAATTGCAAAATGCAGTCCGATTGATCTGCCCTTTAAACCTATGGAAAAGGATCGATATGAAGAGTGTTCGTAGCGAACACCTGTAATCGATTCTTTACCATAGCTTCAAATGGGGAAATATCGATAATCGATCATTCACGCCTCGCCACTGCGGGCCGATTATTGAAATTGATAGACAAAGCTATAGACAAAGGAGATATGGAGAGATTCTATTGGTGGAAGCGGGTGGTTGCAATGGACAAAGGAAGGAGGTAGGTAATCGACTAACTAACGGCAACCCACGAGAGACCCGACAGTTAGTCTATCATTTTCTCCCTTTGTCTATAGGAACCACCCGTTTCAACCAATAGGATCGCTCAATTCTCCCTATGTCTTCTTTGTCTATAGCTTTGTCTATCAATTTCAATAATCAGGCCGCAGGAAAGAACGTAACTACACTTGGATTACATTTTGCACTGAGGAGCCACTATCTCTGGCTCTTCCATAAAACCACGTATCTGCATATGGAAATCAATGACATATATGTTGTTTCTAAAATGAGCCAGAAATAGTGGTTCCTTACGCAAAATGTAATCCACATCAACATTGGTCAATTCCCGCTCGTCAATTGGACTGCATTTGCTGGCTCTTCTGGAAAAACACTCATGTGGATAGGGAAAGAAATGGCACAAACGTCGTTTTTAAACCGGGCTAGAATTTTTAGTTCAAAATTGCAAAAGTTAGTCCAATTGTATCTATCTTTGCATGGAGAGTTTGAATTGATGTAGAGGTCGACTCTCAGGGTAGCGTGTGGTAGGGGCACCGCACCACCTCCATTACGGCCTCAGTGTCAAGGGATTTTTTTGAGTTTTGGGGCTCGTTTCAGAAAAAGCCAGTGGCACCATCGTGTTTCTCGAGACATTTTATATTGAAATCAGCACTTGAACCGTAAATTCCTGACATATGGACCAATACTCATTGATCGATAACCTGCAACCCCTCGCGCCTTGAGTAATTTATCCGATGAAAGCTCTTCTTTCACACGTACAGCGAAGCGACAAAATCACTCAAAAGTCATAGCTTCGTTTTAGCATCGAATTGATGGGTATTATTTTTGATGAATAAATCTTTGTATTCACAACTCCAAAATGCAGAAACTTCTTAGCCTCCCCCAAAATTTAATATTTTGCTATATTTGCGCCTCTACATAAAACGACGCGCCTAACAGTTTCCTTCTTCAAAAGCAGCGCGCTTGAAAGACTTCCAGCACAAAAACAGCCTGACGTCTCATCTTTTGGACGTATCTATGCTAAATGGAACTATGTGGAGGTGGAAAGATGGGGTGTGCTCGTTAGTGCCCGGGCCATAAGAATGAATGGGTATTTTAAAGTGCCAGTGACGTCAGCAGCGATGATCGAGACGTATATAACGGTGACAAGCTCGTCGTCGGGGCGCTTTCACTCATGAGCCCTGTCCACAATGCGGTAAGTCAAAACGCCTTCAATTCTTTGCATATCGACGGTGAAACTACCAAACCACGTATCTCGGTTTGCGACGTCGCAGACTTCCTGTCATACTTTATTTTTTAAATGAAAAACTACTTAACATCCAATCTTGAAAATTTCGGTGATTTTTCCTCTTTGTGCGGAGAAAATTCCGTGAAAATTTCAAGGAATGATATTGATTTGGTCTACTTCAAAAA